ACGTTGCTTGTGGTTCTGGTCATTGCTAATGTGGCTAGAAAGCAAATCCCTCTAGATGTCCCCATCCTTCTCAATGTTCTGCACCACCTCATTCCACCAGCCATCAACCCCATTGTCTATGGAGTTCGAACTCAGGAAATCAAGCATGGTATTTTGAAATTGCTGAAAGTTAAGAAGTGAAGAGCCAAGCTATATAATTCATATCCCTCAAGACTTAAGGAAACCTATGGATTGTTCTGAGCCATGGTCTAATCCTGGAACCTTTGAACCCTCATTCACTCTTTCTTTTTACCCCTAAACTCCATTTCTACCCATACCTTCTTTTTTACTCTCAAATCATTGATGATCAGTTACTCACTCAACCACTATGTGAATAGCCATATGCCAATACCCCACATCAAACTTCACAATTACTCTTTTAAAAATTGTTTCCCCCATTATCCATTGTTACATGGACATTCTGTGGACAGGAGGTCTGCGTAGTCAAGGTGTTCACAGATATTCATTGGTAATGGGAAGACTGTCAGTAAGGAAATGAATTTAATGGAAGTTGAACATTGGATGAAATATAAGGCCAAACTCATTGAGAAGAGAAGATTATTAAGAAAAAAAGAGAGAAATTGGAACAAGATTGGAAGAAACAGGGAAGCAATATATCATTAAAGAAATAATCATGTGACAGAAGTTTTAGATGTATATTCAAATTTAATTCCATTCAATAAATATTTTATTCATCATTTATGTACAGAAGCTATAAGTACTAGTCTACTTATTATTCCACATACATAATTAGTGCCTTTGCATTGGTTCTCCCCCATTCCTAGAATATGTGCTCTCCTCATTTTGCCTTATTAGAATACCTGCTTTCATTCAAGGGTTGGCTCAATAGTCTCTTTCCTCATGAAGCCTTTCCTGAATTACCCAGCTACTGTATTCCATCCTCAATCTCTTTTTCATTTTGAATATATTCTGTGTATACTGGTATATGTACATGCTATTTATCCTATCAGAAAGTAAGCTCAGTGAGGGCAAGGATGATTCTCACTTCTGTCTTCATAGTCCTAATACTTGGCAAAATGCCTGAGACAGGGTAGGCACCTAATGTTAATTGATTGGTTGTTCAGTCAGTGAGACATCAGTGGCCTGGCATTCTTGTAACTGACCAATGGCCTGATATCACAATTAAATACTTACAGGGTTATTGAAATGTGTTCTGGAAATTCTAGTGTACTTAGCATATGAAAAGCTCACGAAATTGGGGAGAACATTCATCAAAATGAGCAACAAACTTGTGATGGTTCCAAAGTGTTTGTGTTCATGAGGATTGTGTAGGCTCATGTGTAAAAGCTGTGTACTAGGTAAGACTACAGCTTTTTTTTTTTTTTGTAATTTTTCAGTTGGAATATATTGTTGAAGTTATATTGGAAGTCAACAGGAAAATAAAATTCCACATAGAAATAGTTGTCTCACATATAACAACAAACTGGCCAAGGAAAGCCTAGTCATAAGAGTACATGAATAATTGTTGAGCCAGCTTCTGGAATTTGTAATATGTGCACAAAATACACATGCTATCTTCCTAGAACCTAGCACAGTGCCTGGCACATAGTAGATCCTTAATAAGTGCTTATCAAATTGTGTTGATACGTTCAATAATCCTTGTCTATCTCTTCCTCAGGAGAAGAGTGGATACTGCCATATTCTTTCAGTCTATGGCTTTATCAGTATTTTTTTTAAATTTTTTTGAGAAGGTGAAAATCTTTGCCTGCAACCAGAAATGCAAACCTGCTCTACACTGCCTTCTAATTTGCTTCTTTAGCACTTGAGGGAACTGAAGCCTCTCATCACATTAGTGGAGTTCTTAGTTGCAGGTATCAGGCTCTTTAGAACAAAGAGCAAGGTCTTTCCAAGTAGTTAATGTTCTCAGACTTTGTTCTTTGCATTCTTCTTCCTGGTCCAGGAGTCCCCTTTGCCACAGACCTCACTTTAATTTATGGTGGGTATTATGTAAACCTTCCAATTTTAATCCTTGATGGCAAGACTGTAAGCTATAACCAGAATATTCTTGGGTCAAGAAGGTGAAAAGAAAGGGGAGATAGACTATTTGCTCTTTTTTTCTTCTTTCTCGTGGTTTCTCCCATTGGTTCTAATTCTTCTTTACAACATGATTAATGTGAAAATATGTCTAATATGAATATATATATACATATATATATATTGCCTATATTAGATTGCACACCATCATGAGGAGAGGGAAGGGAAGAGAGGGGGAGAAAATTTAGAACTCAAAATCTTATAAGAGTGAATGTTGAAAACTAAAAATAAATAAATAATTTCTGAAAAAATTCTTAAAAAAATAAAATAAAAAAGAAAGGGGATATAGAGGGGGAAGGACTCTGTTTATTGGAACCTCCAAAAGCTCCCAAACCACTTATATGGTTGGACTACTACCTTTCTAAAAGGGTTAAAAAATGTTACTTTGTCCCCCAAATATCTTCTCATGTGTGCTAGGAGGTCTCTACTTAGTCATATGTCCTGAAATCCAATTAAAGAAACCAATTATTTCCAAATATTTTGAAGAACAATCCTATCAGTTAAAAAAAAGCAAACCTAATTAATGGCTATGTCAGTGAAATATAAAACTCACCAGACCTTGATCAAATGGTAAAAGGCTTTAAGCAGGCATCTAGTGATGTTTTGTGTGTTGGTTAAAGACCAGTCTCATTCAGGTAGAGGCTCACCATCTGAAGGCTGGCCTCCAATTGAGAGTTGCTTTCTGGTGTTAGTAGTTTATGAAATTATCCTACTAATTTACATCAGTAAAGGGCAAACCCATACAGATTAAATCAGTCTTTTGAAGTACAATAGAATGACTATGGCTAAAACTTATTCTTATATCAATCTATTTAAAATGTAAAACATTTCAGCAAATACAGTCATTTAGGAACCTACTCAGTCTTTAAATGTTACAAATCCCTGCACTTTTGATCTCTGATTTTAATTTCTAAGCCTAAGTATACCTACTCATTTAGAATCTTTTTTGAAAGTCAAAAGCATTTCAGGAAACCTGCACAGGTGCCTCATCCGGTTTCAAAATTATAGACTTCTTTCCTTCACTTCATCCCTACTGCTCTGATAGTTGGAGCTAGGGGCTGATACAAAACACTCATTTTTACTAATTCATAGATATCTGATGAAAATGACTTTTATAAAAGACCATGACTTTTTTTGTCTACAATCAATTTTTAAAAAATTTAAAGACTACCTACTCTTTAAAAAATCAAAAATAAGGGCAACTAGGTGGCATGGTGGATAGAGCACTGGCCCTGAAGTCAGAAGTACCTGAGTTCAAATCTGACCTCAGACCAAACACTTGACACTTACTAGCTGTGTGACCGTGGGCAAGTCACTTAACCCCAATTGCTTAAAAAAAATATCAAATATACAAAAAAAAATAGGAAACTTATTTGCAGATGAAGATACGACATCCAAAATCTATGAGGAACTGAAATATATACTCACAAATAGTAACAAATTACCTTTACCCTCATATAGGAGAGGAGAGGAGAGGAGAGGAGAGGAGAGGAGAGGAGAGGAGAGGAGAGGAGAGGAGAGGAGAGGAGAGGAGAGGAGAGGAGAGGAGAGGAGAGGAGAGGAGAGGAGAGGAGAGGAAGGAGAGGAGAGGAGAGAGAGGAGAGAAGAGAAGAGAAGAGAAGAGAAGGAAGGAAGAAGAGAAGAGAAGGGAAGGAAGAGAAGGAAAGAGAAGAGAAGAGAAGAGAAGATATATACTCAAAATATACTGAATGGGCAGCATTTGTTTGCTAAGTTACTAATCATAACCACTCTCCACCCTACATCCTCCCATTACAGAAATCAAGAAACTAATCACAAATTGATTAACCCATTAGCATAAGTACATGGAGATCAGCAAAATGGGTGTTGCATCATCTCAAAGGCCAAATCCTTCATTTATGAGCCAGAATACATGCTTTTTTGGAAGTGGACCAGGCCCAGTGCCCAAACTCACTCCTATCCATTCTCTATTGAATGATATTCATATGCCCCAGTTCACCATATAAGGATGGGCTTCCCAGATTACCCCATTACATATGTGCATAGTTATGTATGTATATATGTATCTATATACACTTATGCATATATATTTGTATAACTTAATGAGCTACTATTACTAAAATTGTACATCACTAATCACATGCATATATATACACAATACTTGATAAATATATGCATATATACACCTACGTAATAAATATATGTATGCATACACAAATTAGTAATAGTTAAAGGACATTAACACATCAACAATTTAAAAGCTAGAAAGTACAACTGTTAACAACCTCAAAGATCACAGAAATGCAAGTGAACAAAATTTTCAGATACCACTAATGTTAATTAGAATATTAAAAAAGTAAAATATGAAACCCAGTGTAGGTGGAGTCTGTGGGAAAGTAGGTCCATTAATGTATGTTGGTGGGACTGTGGATTAGTCCAAAGATTTTGGATGACAATATGGCAGCGGTCAACATATCAATGACAAAACTGACTACATCTTTTGACCTTGTGAATTCACTGATAGTTATCCATTCCAAAAACATTAAACAAAATGGAAAAAAAAAGTCTATATAAAATAATTTATGTAAATACGACAATTCTCCAAATATTTTGTAAAAATACTTTTGCAAAATATTAACCGTACAAATCTATTACAAAGAGATTTTCAGTGGCAAAACAATTAGAGACAACCTAATTGAAAAATGGATAAAAATTATGTTTTTAAGTAACGGAATATTATGCTGCCCCTGAAACAATAAATATGAAACATAGAAGCAGAAATAAAAGACCTACATGACATGAAACATTGTAAAATCAGCAAAACTAGAACTGATCACAATTACGAGAATGAAGGAGAAGTAGAAAAACGAAGAGGAGGTGATATAGGAGGTGGAGGGCCCAAAGTGTACAGAACATTCATTTCTGCTTCATAAACCCTTCTTCAGTAACTTCAGAATGCCCTGCTTGATCTCCTGGGTCCGGACTCCATAGACAATGGGATTGAGAGCTGCAGGGATGACATGGTGCAGGACATTGAGCAGGATGGGCACATCAGGAGACACCATCTTCTTGGCCACATGAGTGAGAACAAAGACCAGCAGGATGGTGCTGAAGAAGAGGATGAGGATGAAGTGGGAGCCACATGTACTCATGGCCTTGGCTGCAGCCCCCTTAGCCTTAAGCTTCAGCACAGCTCGAAGAATGAAGGAGTAGGAGAGGAAAATGAGGATGAGGTCAGAACCTAGCAGTGTCCATCCCCCTGCAAACTGGTAGAGGCGATTGATTGTAACATCATTACAAGAGAGTTTGGACACTGACAAGTTGGCACAGATACAATTCTCAATGACATTGTACTGACAGTAGTGTAGCCGAGCAGACAGAATAGGGATGGGCACAGTGGCAAGAGCATTCCGGGCCACTATGAAGATGGCAGCCTTGGCAACAAATTCATCAGTGATAATGGATGGGTAGTGCAGTGGGTGGCAGATGGCAACATATCTATCATATGCCATTATCAAGAAGGTACAAGACTCCATGGCCAGGAAGCAGTTCATGATATACATCTGGAGGAAGCAGGCAGAGAAGCTTATGGGTCTGAGGTCAAACCAGAAGATGAGCAGGACCTTGGGGATGACAGTGAGGCAAAGCACAATGTCCAGCAAGGAGAGGAGGCTGAGCAGGTAGTACATGGGCTCGTGCAGAGAGGCCTCCAGTCGGATGGTGATTAGGAGGGTGGCATTGGCTCCCATGGCCAGGAGGAAAAGAAGGCTCAAAGGTAGGGAGAGCCAGCGCTGCCAGATTGGAGATCTGACAAAACAGTTCAGGAGAAATTCAGAGACTTCAGTTGTTGAGGAACTATTGTTGGACAACATCATGGTTTGGGTTCTGAGGGTTCAGCTTTGCCTTGGATCTTAGCATCTGAGCTTGGAAATAGGAACACACAACATTCTAGTAGAATGGAGAACTCACTCAACTCCTCTCCTCCTTTCCTCCTAGTGTTCTCACTATTTTTCCTTCTCCAATAACAGAGGAAAATTTGATTTTCTTCATTGCTCAAGCTATCCTCTCCATCTCTACCTTTGGAGTATTCCACTCCAAAATTCATCCATAACCTTGTTTGAATAATCATCCCAATTGTTACACAAGATATTTATTATCTCCCACTGTATAAGTTCCTTAACTTTAACTACAGTTATGTTTCCTATCCTAAAAAAAATAGCAAAAACCTTTTTTCTTGTCCCTATAAATTTTAATTCTTGTTCTCCCTCTTTCCCTTAATTTTTGTTCCTAGGGAGAAGGAAGATTTTGGGGAAAAGAAGAAGAGCTCAGTTTGGGGCATATTAAATTTGAGGTGCTGGTAGGCTATCTAATTGGAGATTTCCAACAAGTTGTAAATGTGAGAGGTGAGTTTCTGGGAGAGATTTAGGGTGGACATAGAATTGAGAATTATTTCCATAAAGATAATGGTTGATGCCATGAACTTGAATATGAGATCACCAATGGAGAGTAAACAGAAAGAAAAGAGGACTAATAGTAGGGTGCACCCATATTTACATGAAGAAGGATAATGTGTTATAAGGAAAGAAACATAAGAGTGGTCAGAAAATAGCAGGATAAAATGAGAGACATTGTTCTGGAAGCTGAAAAGAAAAAAGTATAATAAGAAAGGATAGTCCACATTGGCATGTGTAGAAGAGTGTTCAAAGAAGAGGATAGGAAAATAGATAGGATGTGGTAATTAAGGAGGACATCCTTGTCATATAAGAGAGCAATTTCAGTACTGGAATGCAGACAACAAATATGCAGAAAGTGAAGAATTAAGAAGCCTCTTGATGAAGGTGAGAGAGGAGAATGTAAAAGCTGGCTTGAAGCTTCACATTTAAAAAACTAAGATCGTGGCAACTGGCCCCACCATTTCCTAGCAAACAGAGGTAGAAGAAATGTAAGAAATTTCAGATTTTATATTCTTGAGATCAAAGATCATTGCACAACTACAGCCACAAAATTAAAAGACCCCTTTTCCTTGGAAGGAAAGCTACGGAAAATCAGGACAGCGTACTAAAAAGCAGAGACATAACCTTGGCAACAAAGATCTACAGAGTCAAAACTATGTTTTTTGTGTAGTAATGTATGGCTGTGAGAGTTGGATTATAAGGAAAGCTGAGCATCACAGAATCAACACTTTCAAACTGTGGTGCTAGAGAAGACTTTTGACAGCCCCTTGGACAGGAAGAATATTGAATCAGTCAATACTTAATGAAATTAATTCAGAATATTCATTGGAAGGACAAAAACTGAAGCTGAAGCTTAAATACTTTGGTCACATAATGAGAAGACAGGATTCATTGAAAAAGACACTGCTGATAGATTGAAGACAAAAGGAAAAGCAGACGGTAGAGGATGAGATGAACAGATAGTATCATGAAAACAACAGACATGAGCTTGAACAGATTTTAGGAGAAAGTGGAAGGTAGAAGGACCTCATGCGCTATGGTCCATGGGGTCACCAAAAATTGGACGTGACTGAATAACTGAACAACAACAACAAACGTATAGATACAACATATTGCACAGGTGGTAAGGAAATAAAGGCAGCAAGTGGAGAGTACTCTTATTACAAATGTTTTAGTAAGTGTTGAGGAGACAAAAGAAAATCTTCAGTAGGAAGTAGAGACAGATTTTTTTTTAAAAAGGTACAATGCATAGACTGATTAGAAGGAAACAGTACATGGTGAAAGAAGTTGAGAATGCATGAGAAAAGGTGGTGGATGAAACAAAGTTATAGAAAGTGGAGTAAGGGAAGGGATGGGATTTCATGGATGAGTTTATTAGTTAGCCTTCTGAAGGAAATGGCCTCCTCATCCTTTTCAGGGAGGATGGGTGAGGACATTGAAGAGTTTAGGAGAAAATTCATAGCAGATGACCTCCATCTCACTAAGTAGGATCAAAGGCCATCATATGTGAGTGGATATTGGAAAGACCTGAAAGTTTGAAGCTGGAAAAAGGCATTTTGAAACACTTATTCTGCAGATATGATAGAGTCAATAACATAAGTACAAGGATTACTTTGCAGCATTGAGGGCCCTGTTGATATTAGATAAATAACATATATTTGTAATGGATTAAATTAGTATCATTTCAAAGTCAGCGAGGTGGCACAATGGACAGAGTGTTGGATTTGGAGTCAGGAAGACTTCACTTCAAATTCTGCTTCAGATACTTATTGCTTCGGGTCACTAACATGAACCTTATTTTCTTTCCCAAGAAACCCATCCTTGTTCAGATCTTCCCTGTTCCTGCTAAGGATAGCACTATCCTTTTTTGACATCTCAAAATGAATATCTTGTTAACATTTCAAACTCAAAAAGTCAAAAACAGAACTCGTTATCTTTCTCTGGAAACCATCCCAAACTTCTCACTCTCACTCATCCTACATATCCAATCTGTTGTCACATTTCATTATTTCTAACTTCACAAGATCTCTTTTATATGTTCTTTTCTCTCCACTCACAAAGTCACCACCCCAGTACAAGTCTTTATCACCTCAAAAATGGGCAATAATGCAATAACTTTCTCATTGTTCTCCCTGCCACATCTCTTTCCCAATTCCAATTCATTCTTTACTTAGCTGCCATAGCCATTTTCCTAAAGTGCAGGTCTGATCATGTCACTTCTCAACTTAAAAAACTCTAGTGATTCCTTATTACTACCTCTCTGGATCAAATATAAAATTGTTTGGAAACTAAAGCTTTTTACCATTCCCCTCCATCCCTTTCCAGTCTTCTTAAACTTTATTCCTGTTCATGTACTCTACAATCCAGTTACACAGGACTATTTGCTATTTCCCACAGGACTGGTTTGCATTTTCAATGCCTTTACACTGGCTATCCCCCATACCTGTAATGTACTCCCTCCTCTGCTCTGCAAAATTCAGCTCAATTGCTACCTTTTAAATAAGCCTTTTACTTATGCCTCCCTTCCAGTTGCTAATTTCTCCACTCCTCTCAAGTATTTTGTCTTAATTTTTGTATGTAAATGAACTTCTACAAAATTACTACTCCAATGCCTCAACATGTCACCGAAGTGTGACCCTCAGTTCCAAAGGCTAATACTTCAGAAGAGCACGAGCTCTGAGACATTCTACCATTCTGAAAAGGTGGCTAAGTGGTACAGTAGACAGAGTACTGGGCCCAGAGTAAAATCCATCCTGAAATACTTATGTGACCCTAGGCAAGTACTTCACCTCTGTCTGCTTCAGTTTCCTTAACTGTAAAATAAGGATAATAGCACCTACCTCCAAGTGCTGTTGTGCAGATCAGATGAGATAGCATGAATAAAGTGCCTGGTACATGGTAGGCACTTAATAAATGCTAGTTGACTGATTCTAATGAGGAAGTAGCAATGAATCAGATTTAACTTGAGGGTCAAAACAGATAGCATTAGAAAGAAGATATAGGATTCTTGGAAGTCATGGAGGGGCAGCAGTAGGCTAGGCATGGGGATGGAGGGATGGAGAACAGCTAAGTGAACAAAAAGATCTCTTGAAGAGACATGGCCCATGGTCAAGATACAGCTAAACCTTCTGACCTATGACAACTCAAGAAATAGAGTTCTCATGTCTGGACAAAAGGAACTCCAGTTTTCCCTAAGATAACCAGCCCAAGGGTGTGTGGCTTTTGCTATTGATTACACAGAAGAGGTTTGGAGATAGAGAGGGAATAATTAATAATAATAATAACAATTATGATGATGATGATGATGATGATACAGTGGAATAAGAAGCTAAATCCCTAACACCAGGGCCATAGAGAAGAGCCATAGACAAAAAAGAGAACCCACCACTCTGACTCTAGCAGAATGCGTCAGTGTCCCTTAGAATTAGCCCTGGTCTGAACACCAAGACAACTGGAGTTGAAAGGATGAAGAATGCTCAGGGAAATAGAGTAAAAAAGTTGGAGACTCTGGGTCACCCCCACAATCTATTGCCAAAGTGTAAGAAGATATCAAAACACTACTCTCCTGCTTCTTTTCTTCCTCCTCCCACTTTCCTATCACTGGAATTAGAGTCAGAAGATCTGAGTTTGAATATACCATTCCTCTCTTTCATTTAGTTGTATAACCTTGAGCAAATCATTTAATATTTCTGGGCTCCAATTTCTTCATTTATTTTTTTTTAACATGCTACCTACTTCATAGGGTTATTGTGAGCAAGTTACTTTGTAAATAATAAAAGATAGAAATACAAAAAATAAAGTATAAAGATAGAAAAATAACTGCTATTATTATTATTTATTGTTATTTTTTTCCTCTGCACCTTCCCTTTCTATTCCTCTTCATTCTTGGTTTGGGAATCAGAGAAGCAATGGACAAGACAGAACTGGTGCTTAGTGGCCTCTTGTTCCTAGGCTCTATAGAAGGAGGGTTTGTCAGGATTCTCTCTACTTCTTTGGTTCCCTGGGATCAGGAGGCCTCAGCCCCTTAATGCCTAGCTGGTATTATCCTGGGTTATCAAATCACAAAGTCTCAGAACTGAAGGAACACTTAATATCATCCAGTTAAACTGCTCTTGCCTTCGCTCTCCAAATGGGAAACTCTACTATACCATCTGTTGCTGTTTAGCCATTCAGTCATGTCTGACTCTACATGACCCCATGGACAAATTTCATAGTTTCCTTGACAAAGATACTAGAGTGGTTTGCTATTTCTTCTCTAGTGTGTCCCCATTTTTACAGATAAAGACTAAGGCTAATAGGGGTTAAATGACTTCCCCAGGGACAAACAACTAGTAAATGTCTGAGGCTGGATTTGAGCTCAGATCTCCTGACTCTAGGCCAAGTAGTCTACCCACTGTACCACCTAGTTGCTCTACTATGCC